TTTTTTTTTTTTTTTTTTTTTGTTATTATACAGATTGGTTATGTTAATGTTTTCTCTCTGCCACAGTACTCTTTTGGTCTACTCTTTTGACCCGTTAAGACTACCTTTACATCTATCAGCGTTCCGATGCAATCAACACAAAAAAATCCTGCACTTTTCAAGTTGTTTCTTTGACTGTTGTTATTTGGCTGCTTATCTACGGCTATATCGAAATTGGTACTGACCCCTCCGCCACCCCCTCTCCCGAAAAAAAAAAAAAGAAACACTGATTCCATTATTTGGAACTAAAGTTTTTGGTGATCAATGCTCGTACAGACCATCTTACTATAATGTTTCACGTGTAAACATGTAAACTGTCACCTGATCAGAGGTGATAATCGGTTAAGTTATTTTTTGCCCACCCAACTAACCTTTAATCATTTATGGTTTCTTTGGCCAAATTACGACAACATATATTTTTTGGTTAACAGTATCACATGTTATACATGCTGGTTTTTATCCTAAACATACGTGCGTTACCCCATGAAAGCTGAATGAGTTTTCAGACGTCTGATTGTTCATTCGTTTGCAAAGCCCAAACAAGTGTTTCAATGTTGAATTCAATTCCGCAAACAACAATGTTACTAAATCGCCGATTTTCTGCCAAAAAAAAAAAAAAAAGAAACGATAGACAAAATTTTATTCTTCAACTAAATGCAAATAAACAAAATAAGATTTTTTAAAATAAAAAAAGTCCTATAATTGGATTCAATTTTTTTCTTTTTGGTTAACCATAATGCTAAGCATATGGTCAGAAATTTCTTGCTTTGTCAACTGCTTCAGTGATCATTAATGGTTTCCTGTAGACACTGTCATTCTTTTTCCTTATTCATCCGCTGTTCTCCCTAGCTTGTTTCCTTTCTTCATATATCATTTTTTTTTTTTTGCCTCCTTGAATTCCGCATTTTTATCATCCATGGAAAAAGTAAAACAAACAGTTCAGCTGCTTTGACTAGAAAATGTAGTTTTTTTTTCAATAATTCTAAGAATAACCACTAAATAGGGCTTTTTTTTGCAAAGGAAGGGAATAATTTATTCTTCCTCTTCCATTTACAGTAATAATAAAAAAAAAGTGGAACAGATTGACTCAATATGTCCCATCTGACGTACCATTGCAGTGCATCAAAAATATTAGGCAGAATCGATCTGAGTGTTAGACTGAAGTGAAAGCAAAATTAGGCTACGCATCGAAGATGATTTAACCATTGCTCCTTTTTTATTTTCTTCTTTATTTCCACTATAAATTTGATACCATTGTATATGAGACGAAGTTTTTGTTTTTGATATACATATGCTGTCCGGAAAAAAAAAAACCGTTCATAATTTTTTGGAACAACATTGAACTCTATTATTTATTTCATTTCTTTCTTGCTCCTTCTTAGCCTTTTAGCAAAATCCTCTTCTGGTTACCAAAAACCAAACAATTACTTTGGAGTAACTAGCAGAAAATAAGGCGTATAAAGTAAAAAAATTTATTAAATGATTAGCCTTAAAATTTCTGCTAACATTCGCCCAGAAAGTGGAACTTTACACCTGCTAAGAATAGTCAATTACAGTTTGTCATTTTTCATAGACAACAGTAATTCTTCTCGTAATGATGTCACGTTGAAAATAATATTAAAAAAGGTAAAAATTTTGCTTGATAGAATTTTTATTCTATTATTGATATAGCTTTTTTGGTTCACAAATATTAGAGAAGACAGAAGACAAACTGGTAACAAAGTCATCCCCTTTTTTTATACTGAAAGTCAGAAAAGATTGAGAAAGTAAAAAAACTATTGAAAAATTTTATTTTGCTAAACTAGGGACCAAAAAAAAAAAAAAAAAAGATACACAAATTTATTGTTTGTTAATTTTCAACTACGCTTTTGCCCACTGCCCCCAAATAAACTTCTCTTCATTTTTTTTTGGCTTCACCGAGCAATACCACTGAAAGATGATGCTAAAAACAATTTTGGTGACGTAAAAAACAAAATATTTCTGCACTTTGTTTCTTCTATTTTTTTTTCTCCTTTTCTTCTTTTTTTAACTTCACTGATAACAGTGGTAAAGTGGTATTTTTAGTTGAAAAACTTATACAGGCTAAAAATTTTCTGCTTTTACCACCTTTCAATGCCTTCTAAAACAGTAGTTTTA